AGGGGATAGTAATAAATTAAGGTCATTTCAAAGACTAGGTTGTTTGATGGTGATAGGAGCATTTTCAACTACACCCACCCTAGCACTTGAAATCATAACCAATACCACACCTCTTCACATTGAGGTTAAGGTCAGAGCACTAATCAGCTGCTACAGATTAATTAGCGAGGGCAGCTGGAATCATAAGTGCAATAACATAGGTCACTCGAAAATCTCACAACTATTGAGTAAGGTTAACGGTCAATTATTAAGCGTTAGTGATAAAAAGATTAAAACCCCTTCGGGGAAAAAGCACTATCAGGTAGTCACCCCTTGTGATTATGATTATAGTGTGGATGATGACCATCGCAACATAGACTGCTACACAGATGGATCACTTATCAAAGGTAAAGGGAGCGGTGCAGGAATCTACATACCTATATTAGGAATCAGCATCTCCTCCCCTCTTGGCAATAACACCTCCGTTTTTCAGGCGGAAATCTGGGCCATCAATGTGTGTTGTAGAACACTGATGGAAAATAAAATTATGGGAAAAGATATTAAAATCTTTTCTGACAGTCAGGCTAGTCTTAGGGCATTACAAAAAGATTTGTCAACCTGACTGGTGGAGGAAACTACAGATCTTATCAATAGGATCTCTTTCAGGTTTGGGAACAAGGTAACCCTTGTTATACCTGCATGTGAGGTATACCTGCACATAAAGGACACCAGGGCAATGAAAAGGCGGATGGCCTAGCCAAAGAAGGTTCTAATACTGCGTTTGTTGGGCCACAACCGGTATTACCTCACTCTATGAGCACAGTGAAAGAGAGTATCAACAACTGGGGCATGAAACAATTCTTTAGGGAGTGGAATTTATCCCCCGGACACAGGCAATCGAAAGAGCTTGTTAAAGCGATCAAACCAGCTGAATCGAAATGGCTATTCTCTATCTCAAGGAAGGGAATTAGGAGGCTGATAAGTATCCTGACGGGCCACTGCCCACTGAGAAGACACCTCTTCGTAATGGGTATCCTACCAGATCGCTTTTGCCGCTTCTGCGAAATAAAAGAAGAAACGGCAAAGCATTGCTTCGCAGAATGTGATAGGTATGCTAGGTCTAGATTTGAAATCTTTGAAGGAGAGGACATCACCAAATCACTCCCCGAGATAAAATGCTCCAAAAATCTTTGGGTTTTTGAACAAGTCCAAGAGGTTTATGCAGGACACGTGAGCAGACCAAGTCCCGGACCTTTTAGGGATGGGGTACATGTCTACCCAGGCATTTAACCCCTCGGGTCTTGGTCGCCCACCCTGCATAAGGAGGAAGAAACTGCCACACTATTACTATCGAATGCGAATTCACCGCTCAATGGTGACATAACTTTAGATACGAAAAATACCTGGGGAAAAGAATTGAACCAATGAGAGTCAATGATCTACTACTTCTTAATAGGAGGATCGAGTTAAATGAAGAGAACTATCCAACAAGCAAACATAACTTAAGCACCATCATCAACTATACAAAACTGCGATCGCTCAGGACATACAGAGTGAAACTGTCGGGTTCCGCAAGCCATCCAATATCCAGCGCATTATATCCTTCCAATCAAAATCCTCAGACAAATAGTCATAGTCTACTACATCACTGTCCAAAACGACTTCAACATTCCTTTTATCAATGAACTGACCCAATCCCGCTTACGATAGGCTTAAAGTGCCATATCAAGCTTACGATCCATCCTAACATTACTGCTCAAGCCCTTACTTTCCCAGTCCGATACCCGCTACGTCGCGGGCACCTCGCCGCTAATCACTCATATTGAGAGATTACATGAACGTACTAGCGCGAATAGGTACATAAAAATCAAACGGAGCAGTGGTCGAACAACAAGGGTATATTCATTCACTTGTAAGTTATTCAATGAGGAGGAAGAAACTGCCAACCATAACCCTCGTTCGAAACAACAATGGAGACATAACCTAGAGTAACAATAAGAAATAATGGTAGCAATTATAGTCAGTAACCTACTACTTCTGAAATGAAGTCTCGAATCATTGAACTGAACTAGGAAATAGGAAAATTACAACAAGACAAAAGGCTGCAGTGCTTGAGGATTACCAAATCCCCGCTTCCTAGTATCTTTATGATCAAATGTTTGGTATGAATTGTTATTTATGATTCCTTTTGTTGAATGCTTTGACCCTGCATATCCGTAAAAAGGGACGAATGAAAAAAAATAAATCACAGGTGTACTACTGATAACTGCTCATTATCGAAACATACAGTGAGAATTAGCTATTTTTTAAAGCTGAAAAAAAAGTTTAGTTATTTAATATAAATACATTCATTTCCACACATAACCATATTAAGATGACAAAAGGCCGAAACGCCTCTGACAGACCAAAATGGTTGGAAACGACCAACTACAGATTATCCCAGCAGACTGCCAGAGGAAATCTACCTACATAACTAGCCTTCATATGTGACAAAATTTAATCAAAAATGCTGTATTTTGCTCACGACGTGCATCCCCTCGCAAGTGTAGGCTGTCAGCATCTTCAGTGGCAGATACTATATACCCAAAACAATATTACTTGGAAATTAATGATTCTATGCTTCTACTTTCCTGCTATTTGGCACAATTCGATAAGGAGCAGTATCAAGTCGAAGAATGATGACAGGTGGCACCATCTTGGCAAGTTGGAAAAGGCCGTCGGCGAAGATCGGACTGCGAGGTATGGTTTTCTGTCTGGAATTTGTGGAATTGAAACAATCCGTCGTAAATGTTTATTGTTCTTTTGGTTTAAAGGACTAATGTTTATCCCTAATGGAATCTTGATATCTACAAATGGATTTCAACCGGTTGAGGGGTACGAGGCAGCGGTAAAGTTTTAATTGCGATCAACCAAGATGAGCAAAGCTGACATTTCCATATAAATGGATAAACCCATTTCGTTAGTTATCTTTCCGTGCGCATAAACGATACTGCACGACGATAAAAACGGACGTAGTAAATAGAACGAGCCCGTGAAACGAACCCAAATGTTTATAGTTTCGTTTTTCATTACGAAATTTTGAGAACAAACAGAAGTGAAATGGTTCGACAGAGTTTGTGGAATTTCTGTCATTTTGTCATTTTCTGTCTCCGATCATTTTTGATCTGCCTAACCTCGCTGGTTTGGTCTGTCATACGCGTTGCAGCTTCTAGTCATCTTATTTAATGAGATTTCTCTGTGTGGACTTGAACCTGTAATTTTGGTCGTCTCCGGTCATTTTTGGTCTGCCTAACCTCGCTGGTTTGGTCTGTCATACGCGCTGCAGCTTCTAGATTTCTTCTGAGATTGCTCTGTGTGGCCATAACCTGTAATTTTGGTCGTCTCCGATCATTTTTGGTCTTCCTAACCTCGCTGGTTTGGTCCTGTCAAACACGTTTTTGCATTGGTGAACACCAACAACCCACCGAGGATAGGCAGGCCAAATGATCTTAAGACCAAATATATATATTTTTATAATATAATCCTCTGCCCTTTTTCGCTTTTTGTATGATGCATGATATTCCACAGTGCCCTACCTAATAACCTAATTGAATAGTCTCACAGGTTAGAAATTGCTGATTGAATAATTATGTAAAACCCACATCTTTCTCCTGTTCGATGTACTCCTATACTATGTCATTCACAGTTCAATGTAAACTGTAAAGTGCAGATGTCTAGATCCATACTGATACCTAATTATCTTGGTCACATCACTGAAATTAAATTAAACATTTAACGAGTCAAGACAAGGAGCACCAAAGGAGTTCAGAGATGAGCATGGTGCAACAATCGTTTTAGTACTTGTTGGCTGGTGAAGTTACCAATTTAGTTTTTACGGCACTTTAGCCACTGTTTATTTGGAATCCACCATGTGGTTTAATATTACAGACATTGGTTAAGATTTAAACATAGGTTATTGGAAAAATTGCATCCATTGTTACACATTGCTGGGGGACAAGGACACAAAGGAATTTTGAGGAATTTCTATACATGCAAAGCACTCAGCAAATGATGTGTGACGAAACACCGTGGTCCGCCAATAAAAATGAGTCGCTTTTTTTGTAGTCAGGTTTGATTGTTTTTCCAGCAGTCTTTTAAAAGTGTTCTGTTAGTTCTTGCCTTGGTTGCAGTGGTTATATCACATTATTTTTTGTTTTTTAATTAATTAATTTTTTGGTTTTATGTTGCCACATTTATTCTTCAAAGGGTGAAAGGGACATGTTCAAATTTTTGTATGTTTATTGTTATTTTCCACCATGAGTGAAAATAAGTTTTTTTGTAAATTAATGTATTATTATGAAAATGGCATGTTTCAAACCCTCTGTTTGAAGTTTAAAGTTTTTTTCTAGTTTCCATATGGCAAAATGTATTCAAAACTTGTTTGTCACTTTTTCACCGAGGGCATGTGAGAATAAAAAAACCGCCTCCCACTGGAAAACTTATTTGTCAAAAATACCCCAATTTCCTCGGCCCTTTTATCAGACCCTTTGTTATTCGCAAACTCTTTCAACCCTTGGGGAAAAAACTCATATCGGGTAATTCATTTGTAATCCCATTGTGCCCTTTGCCAAGCTGTAGCATTGGGGTGAAACAATCGTTTTGTGCTATTTTGCATAATTTATAATGGAATATTGTTTAAAATATTTACACTAATTAGGCCTAAAATAATTACATGAATATTTAACTGCTAACGTTTTAACTAATATTCATTAAAATGTTATTTTTTGGATTTTCAACGGTGCCTCTTTTTAAACTAGAAACTCCTTGGATATAGAAAAACATCTTTATGAATACAAAAGCCAAATGCAATGAATCAATTGATTAACCTGACATTGACAAATAACTGGGATTTTCCTAAGTGATTTGTAGGAGTGATATCTGTCAGGGCGAGCGTTTTCAGGAAAGCCATCATTTAGATAAAATCCGCCGAAAAATGTATAGGGGGTTGCATGGCAGGATTGTTAAAAAAAAAACTCACAAGGCAATGTTTTAGTTACTTTTATTCATTTATTCATAAGCAAATCATATTACAATATGAAATCACAGGCTGAATGTTTTGCAAATAGTCAATAATAACCCTTGATAATTGTCCAACAACTCATATCATCTTCTTTAAATTAAAAAAAAAAAAAAAAAAAATTTAAAAATGATTTTTTTAAAGAAACGAAGGAAAATTCGTCAATACCTAACCTTGCAAAACGTAGTTACACTTTTATCTTTTTTTTATATTCCCTTGCTAAAGTTAAATTTAAATAAAACTTACACAAAGGGTTTGTGTACATCTCACTACATCAAAAATCATAAAATATACACAAAAAAATGTTTATTTATCAAATTTCAAATTAGATATACGATTTTAAGTACTTTTCAATAGGAGTGATTTTATTTTCTGTCTTAATAGGTCTCGATGTGAAGGGCATTTAGTTTCTAACAACTGACTTGTTAACTTTTCTTGAGAAAAAATATTAAATTTAACATTAAACATAAGATATTTGTAAAACAGAAATAGGTAGCCACCCAAGAAACTGTCCAAAAAAGCAAGTCAAAATAGGAGAACTTTTCATTTTTAGCAATTTTCCATTAATGAGCTGTTACATAAACATGAAGAATTATGACTGTTACATCTTTCAACAAGACAATAGTTTAAAACATGCAATAAAACTTTAAAAAAAAACTCAATATTATGCCAAGACTTTGACTAAATACGTTTAAGTTTTTTCTTGGGGTATAAACAGTATGAAAAAAATTTAAAAACTTTATTATGTCAGACTAATTATTTTAGATGAATAATTGATTTCGTTGACACTGAATTCATTTTTCATAATTAATTGTCAAATTTTTAAAAGTACTTGTTTATTAGAATTTTCACTGTTTTTTATTACATAAAAAATTAGGCCAGCTTTGAAGAATCAATGATTGATACTTTCAAAACAGCAATTTAAAACGTAATACTTGTTGCTACATGAAACAGAACACTAAGAAAATTTGAAGAAAATCAAATTAAAAACAGATGGAATGAAAAAGAAATTTGTTTTTTACCTTTAGAAATAGGTTAAATAGTTATTAATAATTTGCTTTAAATATACACAAAATATCCTGTAAACTATGAGGCTGCCAATAAAAACAATAGATATACAAATGTAAAAGGTAAATAAAATTCATTATTTTCAGATTCAGACATACTTTTATATCGATTCACTTCCAGGTTGTTTCTGAAAAATGATCGATAACCATTTTAAAAGCTAAGAGCCTTAAAATTAATAAACTTTAATATAAAAACTTGCCTTCGTTCGGGTGTGCACCGAGACTTAATCGATCCAAACTTTTCAAAGATACAAGGAAGACTACCCTACTTACTTTTCTTTATCTGCTCACCACTATATGAAAATCCGAACAAATTTATTTGAGACTTTATAAATTTTTAAATATTTATTTTCATATACAAGAGATTAGTCTAATTTTGTTGATATTTAAGCTTATATGAATGTTTTTTTTTTTTAAACTATATATTTTAAAAAAGAGATTACATGAAAATCTCACAACCGTAAATGCATACTGTAACTTTAAAAATCATCACATGCAGAATGAATAATGCTGCCTTGAACAATCTACTTATAATATACAACTCAGTAAAGCTTCGAAACTGATAAAAAATTAAATAAAAGCTGACCGAACAATAGATTACAACTAAAAGGAAAAAAAAATAAAACCGAAATGCAGTCGATTAAATAAAACGATATATACAAAGTTTGAAGGGAACTAAGGTAGAGGACTCAGTGGAGACATGTGGTGCTGCGATGGGTGAAGGTTCAAGTGTTGTATATGGCAGGCCCTACACATTAGGTGGCCGTCAAGAGGGTAGCACCTTTTGTCCGGCTCGTCAGTCAACTGCATTCCGCACTCCTGAAAAACAAGGCATTAATTCCACAAACCGATCCAAAAAAACAGAAAATATTGTGGATTTTGGGTTTTCTGCTGTGTATCCACAATCAGGTCATTTCAGCCTCATCAAAGTCATGCAAGTAATAATCACACGGCATTTTCTATTCAACTAATGTTAAACTGATCGACACTGGGTCTGTTTTCTCGCTCACATTTATCAGTTTAAAATTTGTTCACCAACTTGCAGAATATCCGCCGCCACCAATATACCCACCTAAGTAAGAGTCAACAGAGCCCTTAATATTCTGCCACTGACTGTATTCATACCATTCTGTCATGCTAATAAATACGTTTACACTCACAAGACACATAAACATTGACTAAAATGCATAATAGGTAAAAACAACACAGGGTGCTACTAAAACTTGCTGCTATGAAAATTCACATTGGTTGACACTCTCTGTATTGACCCATTCATTAAGTGAAACAACTTTTGGCTAGATACACCGCTGCTCTACCACTTGAGCTATTGCGACTTCGATCCACTTGGATACCAACTTCCCATCTCAACACCACCTTTTGAATTTTCCCTCCTTTTTGCCATTTTTCAAATGTCGTGTAATCTATTTGATTCTCGGCGACAACTGAAATGGCCACGGAGAGCTTAAGTGAAGTATACTTCATTTTAACTATATCTTTTTATCTCAACTAAAAACCTTAATTAATTGAAAGATATTAATTGGTCAAGCGGACCACGAAAACTAGTGAATTGAATAAGTTAAAATGAAGTATATCTTCACTAAAGCTCTCCGTGGCCATTTCACTTGTCACCGAGAATCAAGTAGTTTACGGGGCCGCGGTAGTCGAGTGGTTAAGACATCAGACTCTCGGCTAGTAGATCCCGCGGTCGTGGGTTCGATCCCCACCATCGCCTCTGGACTTTTTCTGATGCCTAAGGGGACCGGTGGCCGCAATTGAAAGAAATTGACACGACACTCATCAATGGAAGGAGTTGGATCAGATCTCAGCGACCCTGAATTTGGTCCCAACCCCCTTCTAAAATGAGTTTCTTCGATGGAAAAAGAACACCGGCACACTGGGGGCTAATTCACACTCGAGTTGCGAACCCCCCAAAAATGGAGCCAGGGATAAAGTACAATAAGCTGTACAGCTGCAGTGCTCAGGAGGGAACTCCTCCAGTTCCTGGTATCCATTGGAAAAAAAAAAAATAGATTACACGACATTTGAAAATTGGCAAAAAGGAGGGAAAATTCAAAAGGTGGGGATGAGATGGGAAGTTAATGCCTGAGAGGATCGAAGTCGTGATAGCTCAGGCGGTAGAGTAGCGGCGTATCTAGCCGAAGGTCGTGGGTTCAAATCCTGCTCGTGATGCTGACTTTTTTTATCTCAACTAAAAACCTTAATTAATTGAAAGATATTAATTGGTCATGCGAAACATGAAAACTAGTGAACTGAATAATTATATTGACCAATTCATTATTTCATAACAGAGGAAAAACTTTCATACATCAAGACATAATGTCCACCTTTTAGGATTGATGAGGGATCATACAATTTTACAAGTTTTTTTTTTCATATTATTCTCAATTAAAAAGCCATTGGCAATGCCAGGATTCAAATCCAGAACTGCTAATGTGACAATTTTGAGTTAGACGCCCTAATCACTCGGCATCCATTTTTTGCAGCATCAATTTTTTTTGTTTACAATAAGAAGTGCTAATTGATCCTATCATGCAATTTTCACAATGGTGCACTGACAGTTCATAAATGTTTATATACGTAAACTCAACACGACACGCAAGAATGGCACAATTACACAGAAGACAAACACTTTGAGCCCTGAAGATGATCTCAATAAAGATCGAAACGTTAGCACGATAAAGAAAATGTTTTTCTGAAACCTACATCACACCAGACCATATTTCATGATTTCTGAATAATTATATACATAAAGTTTAAGTTGAAAGCTTTTTCTGAAATTTATTCCGCCACTGTGTAATTAGGATTCACATGAGAATGTCTAATATTTGCTTAAAATGAACTGTGCTAAATTTATGTTAATAGACATCAGGGATAAGACCAAATTAAAAAGAAAACAGTGAAGTCCCACTAATCTGAACCAATTTGGACCAAGTCCTATTCACATAAGGAAAATAATTCAACAATGTAAAAACAAGCAGTAGACCTATTTGTCTGGTTTATTAAAATAATGAATGTACAGATTCCCTACATTAGGTGATACTCACATGATGTTTTAAAATAAGCTTGCAGTTGAGAAAAAGCTGGAAAGGATGAAAGTATATTTCAGTCATTTCTGATCATTTCAGTCTGCCTGTTTTAATCTGGCAGATAATATTCAAGCAAAAAATTATTTATATTGACTTTTATTTTTAAAAGTTTTTTTTTATTTTTATTTATCGACAAAATTATTATTAAAAACTGAAGATGGCAAGAAGCCAAAATATATCTGACTGAATAAAGCAGTGAGAATAGGCAGACCAACATGATCAGAAACCACCAAACTGCAAGTTACTATGGCGAGTAGATGGAATTGCTAGGCCAAAATAACCAATGAATACCACCAGTTTAATTGGAAAATGCAAAAAAACGTGTATTTTGCAATCGAAAAGTGTTCAGTAAGACAATCATATACCTCTTGCATTCACACTTATAAATACATTCACTCTCAACACAAACTATTATTACTGTATACAATTGGACAACCTGTTTCCTTCAAGAATCGGAACAGGGGACCCAAATACTTCTACTTGTCTTGCTCAAACACAATTCTCAAATCTGGTAGGATTCCTGCGCAGGAATTACACTCTTCAAATTAAGTGGGACACATCATGCAACCTTTCTCAGCATACCGAAAACATACATGGGCTTTGGCCCAAAATTAAGTGCTCGTGTATGAACCTCACGTGGCCTATTCTTAATCGGGTAAGGATGATCCTTCTTCTACGATCAGATACTTCGAGAGCCACCCATCAACAGTAGTCTTGATACGTGAGATCTTCTCTGTTGATCCAGCCCATTGACACTTTCTTTTAGTTTTTTTTCTTTTAATCATATTGTTAAGCTTGCTAATAACATTTTTAGCATCAGGGGGCCAGATCGCAGTGGTTAAGTCCGGAGGTTGAGAGTCCCGGCCTTAGCCGCTTCGTCTGCCTTTTCATTATCCTCCAGACCTATGTGTCCATGCACCCAGACAAGTTGCCAACGTTTTGCCGAGATGCCCCAGTTGGTGATATCTCTCCAAAAAAAGCACAATGAGGAGGTCAATAGAAAACCTGTCACGAACCACGTCTCACTGAGGGAGTCGGTTCAGACTAGGTAGGCAGAGCCACCATCACCTCGAATCACCTCAATTGCGTGCCATATCGCATACTTTGCTGCCAAATAAACACTACAGTATGGCAAGAGCAACCATGAAGTGGTCGCACCCTCTCAATACAAGGCACATGCCTCACCCTCACCTTCATCAGTCTTAAATTCATCTGTAAGGATGAACCAAAAACCAGTACACCTCAATCTAAGCTCCAAACACTTGCTCAATAAAGGGTTTGGCAGAGTAGACAACTTTGCTAGCACGACACGATCTTCCGCTAAGGCATTTTATCTCACATATAGTTCCACGGGTGGTTGGCCCCCTATAACCTGCAGGGCCTCAGTGGACACCATGCTATAAGACGCGTTGGGCCCATTCAAGTAGAGTCCCCAATTCGCGCTGAGTAGAAGACTATCTAGTCTTATACAAGATGCCCCTTGTGGCTTTGCTCAGCACTCTCATAACTGCAATGCACACCGATATCTTGTTTTTGCGTTCATGGGACTGAACTCATCTAGACTCCAAGGGATCTGACAGTCCTGATTGTTTTAGTGGCCATCTCATATTCAGCATACCCTTTGGGAGCATCAGCTCAGTCTTATCAGGAGCTATGTTATGCTTTACCCTACTGCACCAGCCGCCCAATAGTTCAACAGCTCCATTTCTTTTCCTTCTATCTCTGCTTTTATTCTAGCTGGAATAATTACTGCCATATCCTCTATGCCAGAATCTCGAGCATGGCATCGCTTAGTTCTGTCAGTGCACCATCAACTATTGCTGCCCAAAGGTATAGCCCCAGAACTATTCCTTGAGGGCTTCCCATCATTACATCTCTACAGTAATCTATTCCATACTCTGATAAGTTGGCCATTCATCCAACCAGATATCTGGCCAAAAGCTTGCATCAACTGCATGTTACCAGAGGGTGGACCTGGGCTAGGTTAGGTAGAGTCAGGGTTTGGGTTAGAGTTAGGTTATGAAGGGTCAAGGTTTGGGTTAGATGAACCCGCTAGGGTTCAGGGTAAGAATTAGATTAGGTTATGCAAGGTCAGAGTTTTGGTTAGAGTTAGGTTAAGCAGGGTAAAGGTAAGGATTATGTTAGGCTAGGTAGAGTCAGGGTTTGGGTTAGAGTTAGGTTATGAAGGGTCAAGGTTTGGGTTAGATTTGGTTATGCGGGTTCAGGGTAAGGGTTGGGTTAGGCAGGGTAAGGATTAGGATTAGGATTAGGTTAGGTAAGATTAGGTAGGGTAAGAGTTAAAACAAGGTTAGGTAGGGTCAAGGTTGGGTTACGTAAGATTAGGGACATGTTACGCTACGATAGTAGACTACATATACTGGCATATTTTCACATAATTTTGTGTGAAAAAATTGTGACTGGAAAGCGAGTCCCTATATTTGTAGAAAAAAGAGTGTTTTTAGTTAGAGGTACTTTATTATACCGCAATAAAAAATCTTTAGTAATCTTAGTCCAATATGCTAGCCATGTCTAGAATCTATGTTAGCTCATTATTCTTCCAACATCTTTGTAACATACATTGTTTATTATGATTCAAGGAAAAAAATTAGTGTACTCCACTTATGTAGAAATGTTACAGATAAATGCGAATAAATCATAAAACTTATTCAGAGGTCAATGAACAACAGGCTTAAAAAACAGGCAAAAATATAGCAAATATTTTCAAGAAATCACAATCTAAAGATATTGAGCAAAGAAGAAAACTGAAAACTGTACAGAGATAATCTACAATAGTGCATTGCTAACATATGTGCAAATGTTATTAATAAGCAATAATTAATTACCTCGCATATATAACAATCCACATGAAAATCTTTATCCATTGAAACTACTCTGACAGTCTCCTCGGTACCCTGAAATAAATTAAACAAATGGTGCAAAAGTTCTACTTTCACTTACTTACTCAATTTTAAAATATTCAAATTCAATAAATAAAAAACACTAATTAACAATTTTTTTACACTGGTATTCCTACAATTATTTAATTGAATTGAACAACTATGAAACTACAATTGACTTGTGTTTTGGATTAAAATGAGGATTGTCTAAAAGTTAATTAAGGCATAATGTACCTCAACTGGAGTGATTCCTTTACCACAGGCAGCACACTTGGGAGCAAACATTCTGCAAACAAAATAACCACCCCCTCATGTTAGTCAATACTATTCAATTTTGAACATTTATTTGTATTTTTTTAATATTATCTACTACCAAACCAATTGAAAATTAAAGAAAGTACGACGTGAACACCACCATTATTATTAACATGTAATGAAATTTATTGAATGTAAAACAGCAACAAGCAAAAGAAGGTTAAATGGCTTCTCGAATTAAGCGATTTTCTAAATACTAGCCATATTTCAAATTTTTCTTTAAACATTTTACATTGGCCTACCAGTAAAATCAAAAAATGTTACAAAGGATTCCTTTTACAGCAGCAAAATAATAGTGATATTGAAAAAAAGAATCTGAAGTTCATTATTTCATACACTCACAAAGACAAAAACCAGACACTCGTATTTTTTGTTGTTTATTTTGAACTATACGTATTTTTATTGTTATATTTACAAAATACTTACTTTAATATAAACCAAATTAAATGAGATCATAAATTCCAGTTTTAATAAAAACTATTTTATTATTATGGTTTGAAAAAAAAAAAAATCAACCAAACACCATGAAATCATTTAGTGATATATTAAAATTTAACTACTTTTTTTTTTTTCAGGGTTCACAACAGCAGAGGTGATAGCAACCCTCGGGGTGCCAGTGTTTTTGAAAAAAGCCCATTTGTAAGTATGTCGGGTTCGAATGCGGGGCCGCTGGATCCGAACCCGGGACCTTTACCTTACAGCGATGAGCACCATGTCAATACCTAAACCATTGCGGCCACTGATGCCCCCTACTTTTGATCGTAATAATGTCTATTACCTCGCATAGGGCCTTAATTGTCCTAGACATCAAGCAAATAACTGCTCCGTCCTGATTTCATCCTGTGAAATAGAATCCCATTCTTTAACAACAGCAGTTTGTTCAATGCTTGTTGGAGGTAACCAACCTCTTCATCATATGTAATTAATTTAAGAGGAAAGTGCTGGCCAATTCGTCGTTGTAATCCTTAGATCCTTCAAGTAATGGGTCACAGACTCGAATTACATGCAGGTGAGCATTATCATGCATTACACGAATCTGTCCCCAATAAATGGAGCGTATTGGACCACAGCTTTCAGAAGAACTTCCTCAATGTATCTTATTGCAGTCAAAGATCCATTCTGTATGGTAATCAACCAGTACAGGAATGGACATTGATTTGTCCCCATACCATAAATGACCGACTTTGAAAAGGCTGTGGCTTACATAATGGCAAAGCATTGACCATGTCTTCTTCACACATGGCCCCGGTCATCTGTATACCACAAACCAAACTTGCACTCATCGATGAAGAGAACCCCCCCTCAATTGTTCAAGTGTTAAACGAGATGCCAATTTGCTAGTCTCTTTTCTACTTTATGTCTTTCCAGTAGCAGAGAATCAGAAATGGAACGTCTAGGTTATTCTTACAAAGACTTCTGGTGACTGTTTTAGAGCACACCCTTATATTATGCACCGTTTGGAGTTACCTATCAAGGAAACCATGAAATGACAGGTCCGTAGTACGGCAAGAGCAATAAAATAATCATCTCTAGCCATTGTACATCACGGTTGCCCAATACTTGCCCTTCAATCAAGACTTCAGATAGCTCCAAACCGCTGTAGACCATCGTTGATCAGAGTACGGCACACCAACAACTTGTGTAGATACGCTACGTCCATCGTTGGCCAATGATCTGCTCAGGCAACATCATTTAAAACCATGCTTTTAAGAAAAAATGCTTTTTTACTTTAATCTATTGTTTCAACAAAGTAAACAATTTAAAAAAAACCCAATTAACTCACTTGACAAGCAGGCTCTGGAAAGGATAAAATTGTACCGATTTTCTTTATTTTTAATCTAAAGAGTGTAAAAGTAATACTATGAAGAATTCACTAATTTCATGGTCCGCTTGACCAATTAATCCATTTCAATTAATTAAGGTTTTTAGTTGAGATAAAAAAGTCAGTGTCACGAGCGGGATTCGAACCACGATCTTTGGCTAGATACGCCACTGCTCTACCACTTGAGCTATCGTGACATAGCTATCTCAACTAAAAACCTTAATTAATTGTATGATATTAATTGGTCAAGCTGACCATGAAACTAGTGAATTTAATAAGTTTAAATGAAGTATACCTTCACTAAAGCTCTCCGTGGCCATTTTATTTGTCACTTAGAATCAAATAGATTACACGACATTTGAAAAATGGCAAAAAGGAGGGAAAATTCAAAAGGTCGGATTGAGATGGGAAGTTAGTGCCCGAGTGGATCGAAGTCACGATAGCTCAAGGGGTAGAGCAGCGACGTATCTAGCCAAAGGTCGTGGGTTCGAATCCCGCTCGTGACATTCACTTTTTTATCTCAACTAAAAACCTTAATTAATTGAACTATGAAGAATAAACAAGTTATTAATATTGTTTTTGTTTTAAGTCAACTATTAATCTTTATAACTAATTATTATGGAAAATAAACAAATAAATACTTTTTCTTTCTTTGAGTATATGTAGCCATCAAATTTTATTAGTCACATGCAGGGGTAATAATTTTGTGAATGAAATTGCAATAGAACATTATTTTAAAGTGTAATCATTTCAGTTTTAGAGCTAGACTATCAATGTTTTATTAGCACAACTTGACATTGACATAAATGAAGTTATAAAAATAGTCAGGTGTGTTTTTTCTGTGTGTACAGTCGCCCACAATGAGAAGATTATTTTGTAAATTAAAACATTAACCAAAATTTTCTTTTTCCATGAAACATTGTAATAGTACAATACGGAACATTAACACAGACTTACTTTTCATCCTCAGTTATCAAGCGTCATTTAGATTTCTTTTTAAGAGGGAATCACATATTCTATCCAAACAAATTATTGTCAATCAACATGTAAGGAACCAACAATTGCTTGTTGTATTTTAAAAAAATCAGTGAGAATATATCTAAAGTGGTGTAGTACGCCATAAGTGTTTGTAAACACTTTGAGCGAGTACAAATACTTTAATTGATTCTAAAATTTCTATCATTGTATAAATTCATTTTTTCACATCCTTCATGTATTTGTATAATTTAAACAATGTTTATAAATCCCAGACCCTGAAGATGGTCTCAATAAAGATTGAAACGTTGGCACATTAAAGAAAATGTTTTTCTAAAACCTACATCACTCCAGACCGCATCAACAATCTCTAAATAATCTTATGGTTTTATCTCAATCCATTATTCAAAAGTTATGATTTTTTTAGTGTAATCTAAGAAAAACACATTTCTTTACATAAAACCAGTATTTTCTCCTCTCTAATGTACTTTTCCCAACTTTTAACACTTTTTTTAGAATTAGCACCAAATTTACTTTTAAATTAGACCAATTTTGTTCTAAAAATTGCCAGCCTACTTACAAAATAACTACACAAACATCATGAAATTTGCAAAATGGTAATTTTGGATCAACTGCTTTAAAATGTAGCTCCCTCACATTCACTTTTTTAAAGTAAACCAGTTAAAAACTTCAGATCTTGGGCGTGCGTTTAATTCCCAGGATACGTCCCAGACCACGTTTTCCCAACTTCTAACTGAAATCGTTGATCAAAAAAATCAAAATAATCGAATAGGGGTTTAGAATACTGTTGGAAAGCTCATAAAATGTTGAAATTGTACATAATACATAAAAATTATAAATCAATTTAAATCAGTACTGTGTGGTGGTTAGTGATGGTTAATCGATAATTATTCAGAAATCATGAGATGCGGTCTGGTATGATGCAGGTTTCAGAAAATAATTTTCTTTATCGTGCCAACATTTCGATCTTTATTGAGATCATCTTCAGGGCTCAAAGTGTTTTGTCTTCTGTGTAATTGTGCCATTCTTGCGTGTCGTGTTGAGAGTGTCCTGATACGACGGGGGCAACATATTAAGTGTTGCCGGATGTTTTGTGTCATTGAGAGTGGGTTATTTGTGACAAAAGCTTGAATTTGGTCTTCGTCAAAGGTCGAAAGACGGCCAAAGCACTTTCTGTCTTCCAAATGAAAATTTCTACTTTTTTTTTATTTATTTTATTTATTGCTATCTGTACATTGAGCAAGTTGTATAGTTACATACAAATCTGACAGATCTGTCAGACCAAGAACAGCGGAGGGAGAAACCAGCCAGTGCTGGAACTCACTTTAATTTAATTCAATAAAAGGTCAATAGGCGATCGTCATTTTAAACGGCATGGAGGATTGTAAGGGTGAGACGTTGAGGGAAGAGTCAAGGCTAATCACCTCCAGTGAGGTGGAGAGATAGTTAGAGTGGAAATTGTTCGGATAAAATCTTTCGCGAAAAGGATTTTAAGATCTTTATGGATCGTTTGATTGGTGAAGTAGAATGGAGCTGTTCAGTTCAACTCTAATCCCTACATAATGACTTAATGAACTTTGCTTCAAAGTAAACAAGGGATAAAAAAGAAAAACACTATGGACTTATTTGACATTTCAATATATAACTTTGGTGGTTGCAATGGACAGGGTTGGTGATTTTGTGGTATATTACAATTAATTAAGGTTTTTAGTTGAGATAAAAAAGTTAATGGCACGAGCGGGATTTGAACCCACGACCTTCAACTCAAACTCAAAAGGTGGGGTTGAGATAGGAAGTTGGTGTCCGAGTGGATCGAGGTCACGATAGCTCAAGTGGTAGAGCAGCGGCGTATCTAGCTGAAGATCGTGGGTTCGAATCCCGCTCGTGCCACTGACTTTTTTATCTCAACTAAAAACCTTAATTAACTGTAATATATTAATTGGTCAAGCGGACCACAAAATTAGTGAATTTGTGGTATATTGTGGCAAACATTTGATTCCAACAAAAACATAACTTTTCAATAAAATTGTGTGTTATATTGGTTAGATTGATTGTTAGAATGTTTAGATGGAATCATCATTTCTGTGATTTAAATGAACCATAAAATAACATAAAATTATCATAATTTCTTATATTATTGTATTACAGAAATTTTTAAGCTTCATGCATTTTACCTACTTTTCCGCAACCACGTGCTATTAATTTTGTAAGTCTCAGTTGTGCTTTATTCGATTATAATCAATGCAAATTTAACAGACAGTTGTAAAAAGTCAAATTATATTTTCACCTGTGGTAATCGTTTACGCAATATATTTTATTGTCGACGTCTACTGTGAACGGCACCCCATCAAGGCATTCGTTACACATACAACATCTAAAACAGCCGGGATGATAAGATTTTCCCATCGCTTGTAATATCTGGAAAAAAAGTTTTAAAAATATATATTTTTTTCAAAGGAAATATAAAATATTACAGAATGGGAAAGGAACTTGCCATTTCCATAATTAGATGTCCACATATTGCGCACTTTTCTGCAGTTTGCTGAAAGCCAGAATACTGGGGGGGAGGGAGAAACAACAGTCAAAATAAGTTCAAATATCGTAATAATGAATATTTTAATTGGCATGGTTGAAAGGATTTCAATAGCCATTACGGTTAACAAACTCACAAGGTAATCTTCTTCACAATAGACTCTCCCATGGACGTTGTAGAACGCTTTCCCTCTCAGGGCTCGGCCGCAGGAACAACAAATAAAACAGTTCGTGTGGTACAGGTTTCCCATCGCCTGGCATGCCTGTCCAGCACCAGTCACCTTTTCTCCACATGTATGGCAAATACCTAAGAAAAAAGGAAAAAATTAATGATACGGCTATAAAAATTGAAAAATATCATTTATTTATTTATTTTTTGTTGATTATTTCCTGATTATTTCATTTCACCTTTGTCAATCTGTCTTTGACGCAGACAACAACACGTTGAAAAAATAAAAATAGATGGTGAGTTAATGAGACAAGAAAACTGAACTGTTTTAAAATAGGTAATAGGTACATTTTTTTTCTTGGTGGTTACATTGACATGCATGGAATAAAAAAATAAAAATTAAAAAAAAAATTCCTCTCAATTATTATTTCAAAAGTTAAGTTAGTTATATAATATAAAAGGCCCAGTGGTTTTAGTTCATTTTTTCCTCAGAATTTTTTTTTCTTACACTCTCTACCTCTTTATTCCTTCTTCCCCAATTGATACCGCAAGTAGTACATACGCTTATGGTTTATATAGTTCCATGTACTGTGTGTTGTGTGTATTATATATATAATAACATTGTATAGGTGCGACAGATTTTTTCAGTCCCTTCCCCCTCTTGTTTTCACTTGAAAAAAATTCTTTCTCTTTATGGGTTGTCGACACTTGATTTTTTATCATGGAAGGGGCGGGGAAACAGAGTCATAACAATAGATAATAATATAATTAAAATATATACAATTAATTAAGGTTTTCAGTTAAAAGAGATAAAAAAGTCAATGGGGGGATTCGAACCCACGATCTTCAGCTTGATACGCCGCTACTCTACCACTTGAGCTTTTTTTATCTCAACTGAAAACCTTAATTAATTGTAAGATATTAATTGGTAAAGCGGATCACGAAAGTAATGAATTAAAATATATAGTTTTATTACTGACCATGAAGTTATAGTCGTTAGATGGTTTATAGTTTTTTTGTCTTCTTTTTTTAGTTCAGCTTTTACTCTTTTTTTTTTTTTTAATTTTATATATTTGTTAATTAATCGAATTAAATTAGTTGAATAATAGTTGTTGAATTATATGTGTAAGCAATCAAGTGGGTGCAGGGTTGACGGGGGTCAATCGTGGGCGGCTGGATGTGCAAAGGCAGTTTTAAGAAGAAATTTTAATGTAACGATGTGCCTTAAATAATATCAAATTAAAGAACGATTTTTAATGAAGCCAGGTCCGGTCGTGGTGTCAAATCCGATTTTCGGCGACTCCATAAAACGCATATTCGCCCCTCACAAACCTTCGCCTCACAGTCAAAACGGGTCTTTTTTTACAATCCCCCCCCCTTTGTACCACTTTTCATTTTTTAATGTTGTAATATGGTTAATCAATGTTCTTATTTATATAGGACAATTAGGTGTTTACGGCACATAATACCAAAAGAAAAATGCAACAGTTCATAAAGAAAAAGTGTCTTGACCAAACTATAAATTAAAAAATATTTTCTTTCTCATAGTTCAAAATCCATAATTTTAGCAAGATACTAAGTCAGGCAAAGGCAGTTTGTAAAATTTTCACTGCGTTGAATGAAATAAGTGGGTACTCAACCCGAAAGTGGTTCGAAAAGTTTACTTCGGGGAATGAAGGAATTGAAGATGAACCTGGCAGACTTTCTGGTTTGAATGACGATGGATTGAAGGACGTATTGGAACTCGATTTGTGTTAAACATGTCAGGATCTTACTAAAGTGTTCAACGTAAACGACGAAACCATTCGCTCTAGCTTACATCAATTTGTAAATAAGAGGAAGCTGAGCAAATGGGTTCCTCATAAAATGACCGACGGTAACAAGCTTGGGCGTCTAAACATTTGTCTTTTGTTGCTTTAATGGCATAAAGTAGACTTTTTTTACCAGATTGTCACATATGATGAAAAATTGATTTTGTACAGCAACACCAGAAAGTCGTACCATTGGCTGTCACCAAATGACCTTTATCCCGTTGACACATAACCGAATATTCACCAACAAAAGGTGATGCTTTGGGTATTTTTTTATGGAAGAGATGGTTAAGGTGTACCAATCTCTGGACTTAAACATCACAATTTTAACGGTATTAAAACAACGGCAACAAATACCAGCCCCAAGACACTAAAACTGCAATTTTAAAAAAATGATTAAAAGCAAGTGGCACTGAAGTGGGCTGGATTGGCAGAGCTCTTAGGGTTAGTACATACTGGGATTCTTTGAGTCGACCCTTTGACTCTCCGGAGGGGCTCCGAGCTGCCCCGACTCATTGTTGCAATGAATCTGGTGTGTTCGAGCTAAAATTTTCGGACTCTTTTGAATCCCATCCGATGTGGGATTCTCTGACTCAATGTTGTGCAACATTTGCCAGTGCGGACGTGAATCAGAACAAGCGCTCTGCTTCATTTGTTTAGTTGACATTGTAGTAAGTGTTTTCTTGAAGATTTTGACAGTGTCTTGTATAAAGGTATGTTGTGGAGTACCAAGTTGACATTACAGTTTATCGAAGACATGCATTCCCGTCGGTGTTTGTGGGATGTATCATTCACGGAATACAGAAATCGGGAATTGAAAAGCTAAACATTGAATGGTTTAGCCCAAAAATTCACTGTTTCCGTGGCTGACATTGAAAAAAAATACAGAGTCCGTTTGTTTTGAAATCCTGAAGGTGTACATGAGGCTTGTATAGGAACCGGAGAGTGGCAGCTAATCTGTTGACCGGAGAGATAGATTCCCGACAGTTGGTATCTTTCTTGGAAATTTGACCGCCAACTTTCATTAAAACGGTTTCAAAATTGGTCGGGGACATCCTCAAAAAATTTCTGAACCCTGCGCCATCATTTAATCTCAATGTGTCCAAAAGATTTTTCCCGCGCTGATTCCTGCCGTGAAATATTTGTCGAACCTACCATCTTTTGGGCATTTTTTAATGCACCTCCGATTGGATTCACTACGTACAATGCAAAAAAGAGCAAGGGAAATTCCTGAGAGAGCTAGTTCCTCCTTCATTTTCAAAGGCACTGATGAATGTGAACTGAATTTTGGTCTGGACAAGTTTCTTTGTCGTGGAGCAGAGTCGGGGCTGCCCCGCAACATGAATCTATTCAAAGAATCTCAGTGCGTACTAGGCTTTAAGAATCAAGAGAGAACAAATGATCGGACAAGATTAAGTTCCGACCCCAGAATACCAACACCCAAGGTGGGTGATTCTCGGAACTTGATCTTGTCCGATCATTTGTTCTCCAAGTGGTACCGACAGTTTGGTCATTGCAGCCCCCAATGCAATCATTTCCTAAATTCATTCACTCTCTAATTCACTCTTAAATAAATTCTTAGCTATTTACATCCACACATTCATGCCAGTAAATCACTCAATACATGCCTGGGTCACTAAACTATCAATATTGTATACAACTTATTAAATTCACCAGTTTCGTGATCCGCTTGACGAATTAATATCTTTCAATTAATTAAGGTTTTTAGTTGAGGTCAAAAGGCAGTGACGTGAGCGGGATTCGAACCCACGATCTTCGGCTAGATACGCCGCTGCTCTACCACTTGAGCTATCGTGAATGAAAGTATTGGACAAGACAATTGAAAAATGTCAAAAAGGAGGGAAAATTCAAAAGCTAGGGTTGAGATGGGAGGTTGGTGTCCTAGTGGATCGAAGTCACGATAGCTCATGTGGTAGAATAGCGGCGTATCTAGCTGAAGGTCATGGGTTCGAATCTTGCTCGTGACATTGACTTTTTTATCTCAACTAAAAATCTTAATTAATTGAATTATATACAACTAGCTTTACAACCTGGCTTGGCCAGGGGATAATAAAAAGTGTCATTTCTCTTTTTTGTAAATCCTGAAGCCCATTGTTATATGCACAATTTATAGTTTCTAAACCCCCCAGTGCGAATAAAAAAGTGTGAAAGGTTCATTGAAATCAGTTCAGTAGTTTTCCTTTTTATGATTAACACACATACAAAAAATTTAAAAAAAAATTTGGAGAACTCCAAGAATCGGAGCAGGGGACCCAGATACTCGCTGCCATGTTCAAGCACAGTTCTCATATTCGGGCGGTATTCCTATATGCTCTATATGGGATGCATCAGCAACCTTTCTCTGCATACCAAAGGTATATGCTGGTTTTGGCCCCAAAAGTATCCATGTCATCCTTGTACGACCATTCTTAATCAGGGAAGATGACCCTCCTTCTATGAGTCAGATCCTCCTACGACCACATATAGACTCTTGATTCTTAAAGCCTAGTACGCACTGAGATTCTTGGAATTGATTCATGTTGCGGGGCAGCCCCAACTCTGCTCCACGACAAAGAAACTTGTCCAGACCAAGATTCAGTGTCACATTCGTCAGTGCCTGCGAAAATGACGAACTAGCTCTATCAGGAATTTCCCTTGCTCTTTTTTGCATTTTACGTAGTGAATCCAATCGGAGGTGCATTGAAAAACGCCCAAAAAGATGGTGGGTTCGACCAATATTTCACTGCAGGAATCAGCACGGGAAAAATCTTTTGGACACGTTGAGATTAAATGATGGCGCAGGGTTCAGAAATTTTTTGAGGATGCCTCGACCAATTTCAAAACCATTTTAATGAAAGTTGGAAAGACAGTTTTGTAATAAAAGTTTTCAACCACGGAGATCTTGGAATTTTTTCAACCTATCAATAGAGAAGATATGAACCGTGGAATTGGTAATATATAAAATAAATGAGTAATAATTTGTATAAACCTTTAATCAAATCCTGACACATTTGTTGGATGAATAATGGTATAATTTATCAATCGAACCCATGACGAACATTAAGAAAAGCTCCAAAGTTGAAACAGATAAAACAAAACAAAAACAAACTGCAAAACATGCATGTTATTTGTACTTGTAATTAACAGTTAATTAAATATAATATATATTAAATATATAATATATCAGTTAAACATAGTTAATTGAAGTGTGAAGTAACTCATGTTTGAGTTTATGAATTATTAACTCATTGAAGAGATGGCATACGTAAAAATAGCATTATTTGTTCAAAGTCGTTCGATTATAGACTGTCACCTGGCCATCAGCCA